ATTATAAAAATGCAATTTGTGTTTCTATAGCAGTGGTAGTGGTGAAGGTAGTTGAAGCCGTAAGTCAAAGATGTTTATAATTTACTGCCGACGTTGTGGCGGCGGCAACGGCGGCATTATCAGGCGCAGTAGCGGCCATGTTGGGAAAGTAAGAGAGCGTCGCGACGCCGGTCTGCCGAGGCCGGGTGGGGCTCCCGTCGGCGGTTGCCATTGGCAACCATTGCGAATGCGGCACATAAATTTGGCGACCCACCATTTTAATCAAAAATTACATTTTATAACGATCAATATGTGTCGTTGAAGTTACAGAGCGCACACAGAGGTTGAAATGAAACAAACAAGTAATTATTAAATCTTCGGTCGTAAATCTACGCACGCCTACGTAAAACCCGCAGCAGTAAAGTGTTCACTTACTGCTCTCGCATCCACACGAGTGTACGAATCGTAAATTTATCGAAATGCCCGTAGATATTTAAAATAATGAAGACGTCTCAATGATTTACTCTCGCGCACATGATTACGTTTCAATTAGTGCGTCTTCTCAACAGATGAAATCATTACCAACATTAGTTTACTCGTAGTTTATAATGAGCTGCTTTTAAAATGAAAAAAAAATAAATAAAATAGTAGTATTTATATTAATTAATAACTGGCGTGTGGTTGAGGTTATGTTTCGCGTGCTATTGTCGCTGTATTTGATTTCGATAACCGCGCGCGTAGCTTAATCGCTGTCATTGGAGCGCGCGCGCCCGCCGGCGCCTATGACAGCCCATTCATAATGGTGCGGACTTCATTATTTGAAGATTATGCTAAATATCGGCGGCGGCGGCGTGCGCACGGTAGCACACCGATGGGAATTTGCATTTTTCAGATAAAAACAGCCCCGTGCGGAGCGCACAGGCCGAAAAATATATACATTCACATATAACACAAGTTGGGCATTAGCATTCAACGAACGCCATCGATCACGTACACATCAGGGATTACACAAGTGTATTTTTAGGTTAGATTAGGTTATATTAGGTTATGTTGGATGTATGCGCATATACAGTGTGTTGTGTTGTTGGTTGTTGGTTGTGAGAGAGGATTGAAAGTTGAAGATGAAAAATTCCTGAATAATAATGCGCATTGGTAATAATATCGAATATGTGAATATTGAAATTGAGTGCGCTCAAGGGGTTCTCGGAGCGCCGAGCGCATAAATGAATTATTAGCCAGCGCGGTCGTAAATAACAATTAGTTCGCCTGCGCGCGCGTCTTTGGTGTTTGGTTTAGTTTCGTGCGCCGTCGTCGGCTTGTTAATGCAATGCAAACAAGATGCGTTCTCTTTAAACATTTGTATTAACGAAGCTTCATTTGGAATATACACTATAGCCTCGTTTTAACAAAACAAAAACTCTATATAACGTCGAATTAGAAGAAATTAAAATAAAAGTTAAAAATTACATTGGAGGGCTTATGTTCGGTGCGTATACCGCAAGTCCAACATTGGCATACTACAAAATTTAATACTGTGTAGCCTGAATTTAACAAAAAAACTCGGTATAACGCAAAAAATGATAAAAATTAAAGAAATTTAAATAAAACTTGAAAATTTGCATTATAAGGCCTATGTTCGGTATGAATACCGCAAGTCCAACATTGGACAACAAAATTTAATACAACGTAGCCTCGATTTAACGAAAAACTCTGAATAACGGTTAAATTTGTACAATTTGGTTGGTTTATATCAATTTTCTCGTTATAGCTTTACAGTTTCTCTGTGTAACGACGCAAAATATTTTCATTTCCTCCAATTATGAGCTAGAATATTTTTTCTGCTGGCATGACATCGATGGTAACATTTGAAATATTGTTGTAATTATGATCCCAACATCCCTACAAATTGCAATGCAAATTTCTATAACTTAAGCACGATTTTTCAGCTAATTTGTTGGGGTGCACGTTACGTTACAACAAAATCATTTAAACATAACACAAGTGAATACAACTGAGCGACGCGGAATTCATATTTAGACTACAAGAAATATTTACCGGCATTTTTCCAAGAGTAATAGAGTTTATAACCAACGCAAAAAAAGATTAAACAAATACCAATCCGCGTTAAATCCTAATATTTGTTTATTTTTTTAATTTCTGATGGTTACACTGTATTTTCTCTATAAAATTACGTAAAATTAACTAAAACTAAAGTTAAACTCACATTGCGTGTCCACCAAATACCTGACATACCTTCAAAGGCGATTGCACATTGTGCACGTGGCCGCGCACGCCATTGCGTGGACTCCGCGTATTTGTGTGCCCCGACACAATTCGTCATCGAACCCGCCGCCATCCATGGCGTTGGATAGCATGCAGAAATGCGGAAAACAGCTGATCACCTCACACCTAACCTATATTCACCTCGTCTAGACACGAAGTCAACACCACATAACCTATGTTTTGAGGTTAATGTTAAATTAGCATATGTTTTACATACAAATTCTCCGGCAACGTTTTAAAACTTAATAAATTCGCGTTGCCTACGGACGCAGATGTTTTCTCTAATCGAGAGGGGTGAAGTCCGGCCGAAATCCGTGAATACGTGAATATGAATCGCTCGACTAATTAAAAACTCACAAACTGTATAACGTATTAATATCCACGCGTACGTAATCACCTTTTAACATGCGCCGCAACATCTGCTCGAGTTGCTTCCGATTTCTGATCGTGATCACGATCACCATCAGAAAATAAGTATTCATTATAAATATAAAAATACTACATACACGAAAATAATCGCGAAATTAAACTTAATTAAAATAACGCGCGCCGAGAAAACGTCTTATCAGTCAATTGCAAGCGCCGGCCACGCCTCATTTATGTAACCCTTTGATACGCATCAAAGTGGTTAGCTATGCATAAACCAAGGGTAGAAATTTTTAGTTTTGCGCATGCGCAATACACATTTCACCCTATTTTAGCATCCGCAGATTGTGATTGGATACAAAAACATGAAGTAGAAGCAAACAAGATGAAGAGATGCGTAGAAAACGTCGCAGGAGATTACTTCAGGTTGAATGTTGTGAAGGCAAGGTTGTCGCTGTGTGTTTCTCGCGCCAACACCCTCATGGAGGTCGATGGCTATCTGCGCGTAATTTAATTTTACATGACTTTCCATGTGTGGAAGCAGTCGAGTAGCCCCGACATCCGATACATCTCCGCGCGCGTATTTTTACGAAACCCTATCCGATCAAAATTCAAGATGCAAATATTTACCTACCAATACAAAAAAAATGTTGTTTTTGTTGTTGTGTTAATTATGTATTTCTCAACTTATTTTTGTTTTTGAGGGTGAATTTGTACACATATTTGTGCCATACCCCTAGCACCGGAGTTGGGGGGTGGGGGTGGTGGTTAGGTAGGCTACCTTGTTTGGTATTATTTATGGGGCGGTGGGGGGTGGGGTGATAGAATTTAACGATTTAATCAACGGATTTAACACACTGACTAGAAGCAGCCCGTGAATGCATACATCCACTAGCTAATGTGTTCATTTCAGTTACAATGAATACTTTAACTACGAATTTTAGCGAATGTATGCATTGACTAGTAAATGTATACATTTACTAAATGTATGCATTGACTGCAACATAGCCATCTCCTCACTCTCTCTCTCTCACAAGAAATATCAATATGTTTACTGTCCGGCGCTAAGGGACAACTTAGTGTCCGGTGCTAAGGGACAGACATTTTCGTTCATTTGGTGGTACCTACTAAAATTGTTTAAAAAATCTAATAATATTCTACCATTTTACGGATAACAATCAAGTACTACTTGTATCTTTGAATGCCACTCAAATGTAAATGAGTCTGGTGAGTCTCTTGGTCGGGACGCGTTTCTTTCTTATAGGTGGTATATTGATTAGAGGAAAGCTTCGGCCGGGTAAGCGGCGGAGCGGCGGGCAGCAGACGTCGAGTCTGCCGGCGCTGGCTGGAACGCGGCGGGCGGCCCCACGGTATTGATCAAATAAATAAGCCTCCCATACACGCACACACAGCGCCACTATATCACGTTTCTCGCACGAAATTAACCATGCCGAAAAGCGATGCCCGAAACGCCGTGATAAATAAGAACGGCAGCCGCAGAGTAATAAATATGAAGCAAACCGAAATCGAATTTCGAGATCAATCCATAAATATGCCAAACGTATGCAACTCAACTCACAAAATACAAAGTTACACGAATGTCAAATGTCAAATGTCAAAGTAGGTACAATGATCGTGTGTAAATATAAATTGTGTGATAATAGTGGCATCAATCGAAATATCAAGGTGTAAATATGTGTTGAGCACGAAATAACTGGATTTACATGCGCGGCGGCTATACTTATGTAGTTCATAAATTATTAATCGTCATTCTTGATTGAAACATTATGGAAACAAACGTATTCACTCAATTTTTTCTACTAATAATATTTGCGTAGGTTATAATTCACAAAATGGCGTAGGTTGCGTCATTTCCGTGTATTGCGTATTTTGCGTAAGTGAGCGTGACGAAGATGACGATGATGTTCCCGATAGTTGCACACAAAACACACTCTATTATGATATTTACTGGTTGCATATGTTTCGTATGTGTAAGCATAATGATGCTGCAACTTACTGTGCGTGTAGTGTGGGTTGTCTACGTTATACGTAAGCATGATGATGCTGCAACTTACCGCCTGGGCTTTGGTGATTGAATAAAGGTTAATGGGCTAGTGATTCCGCGTGACAGGTGCATTATTAATATAAATGATCGCGCTTACGTGCAGTACGTTTCTATCAACTCAAAGTTGTGAATTGTGAGCGTGTTATGTTTACTAGTAGATATAATGTGTGAATGTATGTATTTCTGTGTGTGTGTAGTGTTTGTCGTCGGGCGGCCGTCAAGGGTGCATTAGCGAGCCGCATGCAGGCGAGCAAACACGAGCGATGAATTGCTAATGTGAACGCGGAACAATAAGCTTCACACCTACCTTTATGACATAATAGACGCCGTCGATCTGCCTCCCTGGGACGAAAAGTCAGCGCACTGCACAGCACACACACGAGATTCACTAAGAGACGCCATTGTCGCGTTGCAGGATTGCTAACGCTGCCAACTTAAACAAATGACAAATAACCGTCGCTTCGCTACCACTAGCGCCCCCTATCGTGAATTTTCATAACGTAAATGACATTCAAATGTTAAAAACTTAAAATAATGTTTAAAATGTGTTTTAGGGTTGATTATAATGTTTCTGTGTGTGAAAAACAACGCCAAAGTGAAAGCGATTAACATTTTATGCATTTATTCCGGTTTCACGCGGCCGGGAGAGCCGCGCGCGTGAAAAAATAAGATGAAGAATGGAAATACGAGCGGGACATAAATTACCAGATCGTTGAGTTAGTTATGTGCGCGTGCTAACAGGGCGTTGAATATATTATCACACACTGCGTGTGCATATCTGCATACAGTCTGTTACAAAAACAAAAACTCAACCCTCAAACATTATCATTTAACTTGTGTTCTGTGCGAATTGTAATCATTACATTACTTTGCATTATCTTTTTGTATCGCTATGAATGTAACAATATAACAATACGCAAGTAAAAGAATAAAAACTCACGCGTTGAAAAGGTTCTGATGCTTTTTGAATACAAAAAATTATTGTTGCGTTGTGTATTCATCGATATAATTTATCGCGGTCGCCCCTCGCGGGGCGCAAACGTCTTGTTACTGGTAGCCGCTATTTGTTAACAAATCCATTCGTATTCACCGCGAGGCTTGTTTTACCAGCGCTCAAAAGATGTTTTTCTTGTCTTCAAAGCTTCAGTATACTCTGAAACAACACAAAAAGTATTTTAAGAAGTCTAACCTTGAAGAAGTCGTACACTAGCGCCACCTATCGCACAAATAAAAAAGATGATTTATTATTTGCTATTTAATTGAAATAACTTACAATTTGTTCCAACACGTTTACTGCAATCAATGTAACCGTAAATTATTCAAATTGCCAATGCACTAACCGTTGATTTTTATTACGGCGATAATTAATATTTTAATTAATCATTAGAGTGTGTATATCAGCAACCAGCAACACACATATCTAATCGTAAACTGCACTGCGAGTGCTCTGGTGTTTATTAATTCATATTTGATGGACTTGTAAACGCACGCATCGGCGTAAAGAGAGCAAAAAAGCGGCGCGCACCGGATTCCCGTTTAAAAGCGCATCTATATCCGAGGTGCATCTCTAGACTTTTTTCACGGTCGCCGGACGGTCTCACTAGAGCATATCAGCATGCCGATAACGTTAATTAGTCGGTAATTGCACATTGTTACACGCAGTGCTTCGACTAACATTCTGTTTTCTCGCAGTGCAGAAAATACACTTACTTATACTCATGTTGTGCTGGTTAACATAGGCAACCCAATATACATATTTTAGGTTATGCGTAGTAATGTGGGGGTTGTTTTGTGTTTGCAGTTGTAATGCACAAAGATAAAGAAGACAGCGGTACGTTGCATCGAGGGCGCGAACTGACTGCATTCGATCACACTCCATTAGACGGCGAAATGTTCCTTCAGGTAAGAGATAAAATATTAGCGTAGCATGCGCATACTTGCCGCATAGTTGGGAGACGAACCTCTCGTGTGTTTCGTTTACATGTTGCGCTCGGTTAAAGTTAAACTGGTGTTATATTACAGGCATTAAACGGGTTCCTAATGATTTTAACATGCGAAGGCGAAGTGTTTTTCGCCACGCACAGCATAGAAGGCTACTTGGGATTCCATCAGGTGTGTGTTTTAATAGCGTGCCCCAATGCACTTTCCTACACACCACACTCTCACTTTCGTTTCTTGCCTTTTCAAAACATAATACAACACACACACAACATAACCTATAAGTTAATATTAATTTTTTTTCTTACCAGTCGGATATAGTGCATCAATCTGTGTATGAATTGGTGCACTCTGAGGATCGCGAGGAGTTGCAGAAGCAGCTCATGTGGAACTCGTTCCTGCCGCCGGAGTCGGCCAACATCGGCCTGCAGGACGTGCTGCTGCCTGACAATTGCCACATGCTCGAACGCAGTTTCACCGTGCGCTTCCGATGTCTCTTAGACAATACTTCCGGCTTTTTGGTGAGATATGCAACCAGATATACACTAAAATATTATATTACTAGCTTTAACCCTCGGCTTCGCTCGCGAATATCTAAAATAATGAAGTTGCTTCCGTACGCGTCTGTAGTCACAGAAGAAGTAACAATGATGTAGAATGGCGGGAAGTTTAAAATGGCTGAAAGTATAGTCTATGGAAGTATAGTGTACAGTCTCCATAGTGTAGTCAATTGGATTTGATGTTGACGTAGCTGTAGGTAATACAGTGTGATAATACAGTGAGATGGTACTATAGTACTTAGGTTTGAGCTTCATTGCTGGAATGCTAGATGGCGTTAAAGTAGTCAAATAGCCAGATGCAGAAGTATTATTGGCTAAACAATTTCTTTATTTTATTTTAAAAATAATTTTTTTATAAAATAAAAAGTAGCCTATAACCATTCGGGGACCACTAAGAATATGTGTACAAATTTTCATGATGATCGGTTAAGTAGTTTTTGCGTGAAAGTGTAACAAACACCAGGACTTTCGCATTTATAATATTAGTAGGGAAGGGATAACATTATTTGATTTGTTTTATATTTCAGCGTTTGGATATAAGAGGGCGTGTTAAAGTACTGCATGGACAAAACCGCAAGTCAGAAGAACCGCCACTGGCGCTGTTTGCAATATGTACGCCATTCGGGCCGCCATCTTTACTCGAAATTCCACAAAAAGAAGTCATGTTCAAAAGCAAGCACAAATTGGATCTAGCACTTGTGTCGATGGACCAACGAGGGAAGATGTTGTTGGGATATTCGGATTCCGAGCTAGCTAATATGGGAGGTTATGATTTAGTGCACTACGATGACCTTGCATATGTTGCTAGTGCTCACCAAGAACGTAAATAACCTTAAATTAGTATTAATAAAATAAAAATTTTAAATCTTTTTTAATTTTAGTATTAAAAACGGGCGCTTCTGGAATGATCGCCTACAGATTCCAAACAAAAGATGGTCAATGGCAATGGTTACAAACAAGCTCACGTCTAGTATACAAAAACTCCAAGCCAGACTTTGTTATAAGCACCCACCGGCCATTAATGTAACTATTATAACCTCAAAACACAAAAACACAGATTATGTAATATTTTTTAAATTTTTCTTAAAACAGGGAAGAAGAAGGTCGTGACCTGTTAGGAAAACGCACGATGGACTTCAAAGTGAGCTACCTGGACGCAGGTCTTCCCACCAATTACTTCTCGGAGGCGGACCAGCTCGTCTCCAACACCACCACCCCCACCCAACACAACTCCACCCCAACACCGACGCGAGTCAACCGCCGGTATAAAACCCAACTGCGTGACTTCCTCTCCACCTGCCGCAGCAAACGCAAACTCTCCCATGGTGGCAGCTCCAGCGGTCAAGTAACACCCCCGGCAAACCCCACAGCAGTGGCATCTGTAGTCTCACCCATGCCTACAGTAGATTACATCACAACCGACGCCGCATATAATATGTACTCAACCCCGTATCCAACCCCCGCGCCTGAACACACATTATCCCCATACATGAGCCATTCCAACTTCCAGCACAGCCTGTATCCCACCCCCAGCGCGTTAGACAATCGCTATCTCACCACCCCGGACAACCTCTTCCACCAGTACCGCCCTCTGAGTACTTATTACTCGGATTATCACCACGCCCCGACGGCGAGTGCTTACGTAGGTAATGGTTTCCTTGGTAATGTACCAACGTATGACCCTGCAAGTACCACCACGCATCATCACACAACTTATCGTGCATCCGTAATGGATGATAAACTGTATCCATGTCAACAAGTCGTTGAACAAGCTAGTAAATACCCGTATGTAGATAGTAGTCGAGGTTATGTTGTTGCCAATGCAGCATCATGGCCGTATTCGGTCAGTCCATCATCGGGGATCATTCAACCCGTTCAGGTGATGAGCACGCATGTTGAAACGTTGAAATCCTGCAAGAAATCAATTGATAATATATCGCATTCATCCTCACCGGTGAATTCCGGCCTGCTCACACCGAAAATGGAGGAGATAAAAGCTGATTCATCTACGATGATACAAAATGACAGCCCGATCTCCCATCATCCCTCGGTGCCACCGCAACACTTTTCCCCGGTGACTACTTCGACGAATGATGTCCCCCGGCAGACTGTGTTGATGTGGGGTGCGAATCACCACCACCATCATTCTTCGCCGAACAATCGGTCTCCGGTGGAATACGCCCCGCCTAGCTCCGAAGGGTGTGATGCGTTGAAAAGCCTCGCGGAGATCAGTAATCCCGATATGTGCAAATGGAACGGCGATGCGAAGAGTGACAACGCAGGCGTGCAGCAACCGGAAGCCGAAAGCCCGCATCAACACCATCCGAATCATCACAACCATCACAATTCACGTGTGGTGATGGTTCTATGATGAATGCTGACGATGCACGTGTACATAGCTATAAATAATATGCGTTCACCAGCATGGAGTATGTATGAACAAGGGCGTCATGTTGGTTGCCTACCGTGACACTCCATTTTCTTGACTTCTTGTCACACAGTATATTAACACACACAAAACAAAAACTAAGAGTATCTTCCTAATTTGTTTCCAAAATGCAACAAAACCGTATTGATTTACTCTCTATCGATGTCTTCGAGATGAAAACGCGAACAATTACGATCGAATAGAATTTCCAATGTTTATTTACAAGCTATACATAATTACCGCTAGGAAACAAGTAAAGCGCATGCGCATTATAAGCGCACGCGATTAGAATTATATATATTTATAAAATGTATACAAAATACCTTCTGTTGCAGTGAATCCAACCGAGCTAGTCATTATGAAAATATTTTATTATGTGTATATGTACATTTATTATTGATTATTATATAATTTTAATTTATATACCAACAAAGCGCCGGAAACAAACGAGAAAACACGAAAAAAATGAAGTGTAATCATAATCTTGTGTAACTATTAGTGACTTTATCGTACAATCTTTAAATTTATTTTGTGGCGAATTAATATTGGCGATGTGGACAAAAACAACTTGGAAAAATTTTCTCTTTGCACAATTCTCACTAAAAAAAATATCGTAAGCAGTCAGAAAACATGCTTCACGTCTACCGAATCATGATTACTATTTGATGATAACGAAAAACCGTCAGTATGGATACACATTCTCATTGTAAATTAATTGAAAATTGGATAATATTAAGATACAAATAAATATATTATAAAAGTGTTGTATCACCGTCATAACATAACCTCACATATTAAATAACGGCTAGTAAAGCAGCGCGCGCGTCAGTATTTTGAAACAACGCACGAATCAACGCACGCATTTCATCCGCAGTGAAATGTAAAGCTAACGGTCCCTTACCATCCGCCCAACGTTCACCAATCAACTCTAACCTTGAATTCAGCACGAACATCACTTCGTTCATCTTCGCCCAGTGGGTGACATACATATGAATCTCTTTCGGTTCGGTGAATAACTTCGGCCCTCTAGTGGCGATTAATTTAAGTATATCCACGAGTTGCTCGCAAACATCCGCGGGAATATCACTGATTTTCATGATGTCGTCAATCACACTCGTGCACAGCGTGTCCAAAAGCACACCAATCGTGCTGTTGTAGTCGTAGTAGTTGAGGACTTTCTGCCAGACGGTTTTTAACAACTCTTGTTGTCGCAAACACTGTCGTACGGTTTTCTCGGCAGATGGCTCTAACTTATCACAAGCTAAACTGATCCCTGACGCAACAATTCTTGTCTTTATGTTGTCAACTTGTTCACTGGTCATTTCCCGCAGCATTTGATCCGAGAAATCGTTCAAATGCTGTGTGATGAATGTAAATCTATCGAAATCTTGTAATCCAGGAGGGAGTTGTCGACATAGATCATTCCAAGATGGCGATGTTAGCTCATGCGCAATGTATTTACAGTTGTTGTAGAAGATTGCCATTTGTTGAGGGATTGTTTTCAATAGTCGTTGATTGTGTTCCTGAACAACACTATCGTACTGTGTTAAAATATCACTTGCTGTGAGTAGATAAGCTCCTGGTGTGCCACTGGTATTCGTGATTTCTTTCTGGATGATTTTCTCCACTAATTTTAATAATTCCATCACGGATTTAGAGATGGCGCATTGCGGAAAGTCGTTGAATGACAAATCATTAGGATCGTACGGATCGCCGACAGTTTGGATAACATGGAGATCTTTTTTTCATCAAAGTAGTGGCCATTACGCCATATTCTTTAATTTTTTTGTTGACGAAATGTTCTTGGATCTGGGAAGCAAAGTCGGCGAGTTGTGTGTTTTCTTTAGAAATTATATTTGCTTCTTGAAGTGTTATTTGTAAGGCTTGCACACGTAATTCAACCTGGAATACAATATTTACAAACATTTTAACTTGAAAACAGAGTTTTTTAATGTTTTAGATAAATTTACGAAGTTAAAACTAGGTTGACGCGACATCTATTGGATTTTATCGTAAGTTATACTTCCGCACGTCTAGAGGGCGTCAAAAGCGACAAATCAACAAGTTTTGTTTAATTTTTTCACTTTTCATCACAAAATCATCATTAAAAAAGGTAATTATTAGAATAATAAGTTACTATACCTCTGTATAAGTCGCTAGTCCAGTCTCACTCTCCGGAATGGTCGCATCCAAGCACTCATTAACAATCACACTTGTAAAATCCTCCTCAATATCCTCTCGAAGAAAATCCATGAGAGTACTCTCAGTATCAAGTGAATAACTCAAATATAACGTTAAATACTTAACAAATGTTGTTGAATTATCACTCACAGTCGAAAAAGTATCTTTGTGTGTGTTTTTCACATTAACCACACACTCCTGTTCATAGGTCAGTACTTGTGTGGCATGCTGCACAATACTCATCAACATTTTCCTCACAATCAGTTTAAGTTCATCAAAAATAAAAAATGTATTAATACAAGCTAGTGCCATGATAGCCTGCTCAACCCTTTCATCTTTAGGCTTAATATTCATTGAATATATCAGTATACCATCTTTTTCTGTTGTGGAATATTTAAAGTGTTCCTTAATAATGTCCTCTATCATGTGAATGAACTTAACTTTCAGTAACATTGCTTGTTTCTGTAAGTTTTTCATTAAATGTTGATATTCTGACTTTTCAACTGTTTCAAAGCTTTTTAAAATGGTGGCTGCCTTCAGATACTCCAGATTGTTAATATGTGTCTGTGCAAGATTTAGTTTTTCATATTGGTAGTTGAAATCATAACAAACATTCAAGTTTTTATTGATTTCGACAATCTGCTTCTGGCATTTGTCGATTTCAGTCTTGGTGCCTTTCATCTCCACTTTAACAACTTCATTGATGTTGGTTTTCAGTTCATTGACGCGGTTGATTAGCTTTTGTGTTTTGTCGAAGAGTTGTAGGTCTAGTCGGCGACGACTGGTGAATTTCACGAACGCGTCTTCAATGTAGTTGAGTGTGGATTCTTTAAGAGTCATGGATTCAGAGAAAACTTGCGGTAATTCATTTGTTAGACTGTTGATGGTCACAAGCGTGTTGGTTTCCACTATTTCACGTACCAAATTCATCGCGAAAGTGGTTTATTTCACGTTTTTTTAGCAGAGAAAAATATTGTGAACGTATGTACCGAATAACCGTCATAGAATTTACTTAAAATTGTGAGGTTAGCTTCACGTACTCAAATTAATACGAATTATGCATCCTGCGATAAGAAATTCAAAGTTTTATTATGTAAAAAACAAACATTTCATTAATTAGGTTCCTAATCATTGTTTAAATATTATTATTTAATTCTTATTTTTCATAAATCACAAATTTCAAGAATAATTTTCTGAATATTTTTGTTAAAATCAACATCCTAGCGCCATCTACCGCTTCTTTCTGGCATTGCTCATGATGTCACAGCAAAGTGATGTGATGTGTTTTGTTTCCTCACGTCGAGGAAAATGTAGACCACGAGAAATCATGTTTCTTGCGTAAAAATCAGTTAACTATCACAAGATGAATGCGGAAATCGAAGAGCATATACGTAAGAACGTACAGTGGACGCACTTGCCCACGCATCTTAAACAGGTAACGCATATTTCGCCAAAACATAACTCGCCTCGACGTTTTCCATCTGTGTTATCACTGTTATCACTAAGCAAACTTTGCATTCTACCTGCGTATTTCAGCAATTAAGCAATAACAGCAAGAACTACGATAAAACCATCGTTACGTTCAGTATAAAGAACCAGCTGAGGCACAGAGGCAATTTAGGTAATTATTTTAACAAATTTTATTATTAATTTATTATATTTTAATTAAAAAACATGATTTTTAATGTTTTTACAGTCCGTCATGTTCTCAAAGATGAGAAAAGGTACTATGAGAGGATCATATCTTATAGCTGTGAGAGGCTCATGTTGTTTCCATATCACTTAGCTGATATGGTTGTAAAAGGCTTGCGAATAACACCTTTTAATTATTATGTATCAGTGGTGGAGAAGCTGATGCAGGCTGAGAAAAGTTATGATACTTTACCTAACTTTACAGCAGCTGATTGTAAGTCACATATTAATTAATTTATTAAAAAAAAATTAATTTCTAACAATAAATTTGTTTAAAATAGGTTTAAGATTGCTCGGAATCGGACGTAACGAATACATTGAGCTAATGAATAAGTCCAGATCGAATAAAGCGAGGCTTTTTGGTAGAAGAAATGTGCGTGGATTGTTACCAGTGGTTCCTGGTAATATTCACATTGAACCATGGTGGCGAATCGAAGTTGGTTTAGTGTTAGAAGAAGATATAAAGGTAATTATGTTTATATTTATTAAAAAATACATTTTTTATTGATTTATATTAATTTTTAAGATGATAAATCAAGAAGAATTGGCAGTAATTGACAGTCTAATAGATTATGGCTCACAAACCGCCGGCGAGTTGAATTATTTTGTTGTACTTAGTTTATACAAGTAAGTAAAGTTGAAATATGTTATTATTATCATAATTTATGCGATATATTACTGTAGGTGGAAATATTTTTGTTATCAGTACATTGGTTTTACATAGTTTGCATGTTTTTGAGGTTAAAAAGTAATATTAGTAAATAATAATATTTTGTTTTCTTATTTTTATGTTACAGGAAGGGTTTGATTTATATTGATGTACCAATTACTGCTGAAGATAGAGTGCAAGTTCCGCCACTGCAAGGCTTCGTCATGAACCGCACCCTTGGTGATTACTTTGAAACCTTATTGTACAAAATATTCGTTTCCATTGATGAACATACTACTGTTGGCGAGGTAAGGTTATATAACCATAACCTTCATATTTTTTCGTGCTGTCAAAACAACGGCGGCCATTTTATTTTTTATGAAAAACGTGTTTTATGTTTATATTGTTTCTCTGTGTTAATAGTTAGCGAGCGTATTAGAAATCGAAACAGAATTAGTGAAACAAGCTGTGTCCTTGTACTGCCGGCTGAAATTTGCGCGCAAATTGGAGCTTTCCGATGAGTCCTGCACGAATCACAAGTTGAAGAAGCATGACTCGTGGAATTTCCAACCATCACCTACTGTTAAGTAAGTTGCATAACTTAACTTTTATGTTTTTATTGTATATACGATTGTATAAATGTATATTAATGTTTAATTTAGTAATATTGACATCACACCTTTAACATTGGACTTGAGCACTGGTTCAATGGAGATAATCGGTGATTTGCAATCACCGCAAACACCTATTCCTGAAAGTCCAAACACACAAACTATGACCAAGAAAGGACATCGCATCGCATTCTTGTTCGATTCGACTTTGACAGCGTTTTTAATGATGGGAAATTTATCACCTGTAAGTTATTAACTTATTTTCATCAACTTTTATTAATTTACTGATTGTTTATTGTTTTGTTTATCAAAAGGGTTTGAAAAAACACGCGGTAACCATGTTTGAAGTCGGTAAACTCTGCGATGAAAGCATGGAAACATTCCTCGCTGAATTAGAAAAGGTTTCTGTATTGGATGCGGAAGGTGAAGGTGAAGCTCGACGATATTTCGAACACGCAGTACTTTTACGGTCTACAATATTAGCGTTAAAGAAACTACCCAGTCCTGGATTAGATTTAATTCGAATTGAAAGTTTACACGCGTTGGATGAGGCCACAACGTCGAGATTACTACAAAAGAAATACAAGTAAGTGAAGATCGTTTATGCAAGATGGCGGAGGTTGACAAGTATGACTGGTTGCATCACATAAGGCGCAGAAGTTATGTTTTATTCGTGTTATTACAGGTTATTAGTATCGATGGCTCCATTAAGTAAAGAAGTACGGACGATTTACAGCCTAAATCCACCACATCTCGGACCTGCTGTACCGGAAGTCAATACATTATGGTTTAAACTTTTCATTTACCATATGACAGGCTACGGTCCGCCATCTTTACTACTAAAAAAAGGTAAATTTTCACTTTTTTGTGTTTTTTAGGAATAATATTATTATTATCTATTGATTGTTACACTAGGAGTGGTTTTGAAGCAAGTCCCACGTATATTCTTCGGATTTTCACGTCTTCTAATAACTCAATGGCTGCATGAGCCCGCTGTAATCCCCATCGCGAATATTCTCCACGTAAACGCCGCGTTGCAATATTCCTCCGTCCTGATACAAGCCTACGGGTTGCATAGTCCAGCCCAGACGCATATCGTCCCCTTCCCATTCAAATCCGAACCAATCACACGCGGCGAACTGAACATCATTAAACCCAATCACCCAGCAATCATAAACTTAAAACCCCATCTTGATATGGAGCACAATTGTGGTTATTTGACCTTTGTTGACATTGGTATACCTGCTTTGGGTTGTCCCGATCGTGAGACCACTGTGAGGTTAAGTAAGATGTCAAAAAACACATCGATGACATCTGTGGGCGTGGCTAAAAAAGCATCACCGACGAATAATAACAATCAAGAGTTGAAAACTCCGGTTGAATCACATTTTGATTTAACACCGGTGGCGTCGCCAGCGAATGAATTCCGCAGCGATGATTGTACAGATATTCTAAAGGAAGAGTTGGATCAGTTGGATCGGCAGGAAGAGGAGGCGAAGAAGTTGGATTTGACGATTGGTAGCATCAGTAGTACATATTCGTTTGATACGCTTTTGAGTCCGCTGGACGAGACGATAAGCATGTTTTCGATAAACGGCGAAGTGGAAGCGGAAAAAGTAACTGAGGTGGATAAACAGACAGAGGTTGACTCTGCGAATGAGACGTGGACGTTGTTAGACTGTCAATTTGGTGTGCCCTTGTTTGATATTGATGCCAATACGAAAATCTGTGATAATATTGTGTCTGGCGGATTGGCAGAGGCCGAAAAGTAAGTTAAACTTTAATTTAACACATAAAACATTACATTAATGTTGTTTTTTCAATAATTACAGTCTGGATAACTTGTCAGAATCGACGAAAACATTGGGACAAGCATTATTGGAGTTTATTTCTCAGTGTCAGGTAAATTTTCATATAATATAACCATGTTTTAATATAGGCAACCCACACTACTCATTTATGTGCTGAAAACAAAATGTCTTCCGTTTTTCAGTATCATTCCGGTGAGAATATGAGCATTTCGAAACGTGGTCGTCTAACACCAACCCCACGACACAATCTGATGTTCGACAATGGCAGAATCAGCGAGTGGACGGGTAAATAACTAGTAAATCACATTTCCAGGCGTTTTCTTATACCTAAGTTTCGTTAGAACGTACTTATTATACTTACACAAACAGTGTATTAAGTTTGGACCAATTCTTATTTCTACTAACCATTATTTATCATTATCATCGTCAGTATTAATTAATTCTAATAATTTTATCGACTTCATTCATCGTCAAAGCATATAAAATAATATAATATAATTCGTTACTTGAAACATTTATCTACTATTAAATTATTATTTAATCAAGTAAGAGTTGATCCGCTGTACCACCAGATGTAATCGTGCGACTTTTACCACTACTGCCGCCATTTGCTGACTCTTTAAACAAATGCGATGTTTTCACAGCTGCGTACAAACTGAAGAGAAGATGCAGTGATTGTATCTTATTCGCATACACAGGTATATCAAATAAGCTGCAGACGATGTCCATGTAGTCAGTTAAAGGCCCTTTTATCGTGTGACTTGGAAATCCGTGGATTTTCAAGAGGTTTTCCATGTTTTCCGGCCATTCTTCTAGTAATTCATCCAAATCTGGCATTGGACTATAAAATATTTCAAATTCAAGTAAAATTTTAAGTATTTAAGCACTTTACTTACTCAGAATACTTAAAAACAGGTGAAGATTTACTCCGATGCAAATCACTGATGTCTTTGATCCATTTATCAATGACTTTAGTGTTTTTCTCAACATTCTCAACCTTTTTTATGATTGTATTAGTAGGATTACCCATATTAACCGAAGCAGCACGCAGTTGCAGCTGGAGAACAGCCGGATCACTTTGATTCGCCGCTGGTTCATCCAGAACGGTTAAACCTAGATTTGAAGAATCAATCGTGGATGGTTCGCCGTTGAGGCCTTCTTCCGGTGGGATAACTTTCAAAAACGCGTCGATATCACCCACAGCAGGGATGTAATCCGGTATAAAAGGTTTAAACTTATAATCCAGAGCTAATTGCTGCGGCACGTACCTTTTAACAACAAAAAAACATTAATTTTTGATTATTTTTATACATTTTACTTGTTTTTTACTTTGTGATGTATTGAAACAACTCTTTGACTTCACTAGATGCTTCCAAATCCTCATACAGCTTTGGATCGTATTCTCCTTCGATTGGTCCTTTGATCTTTTTATCTTCTTCACTGTCTTCTGAATCACTTTCACTTGAGATTTGTATTAAATGTGGCGGTGGACGTATTTTTGTGACTGTTTTGCGCCCGCTTGAAGGACCTGCTGATAGTACCGAACTGACAGGACTCACGTCTTGTGTGGTGGGTTGTTTCTGAGGACTTAAACTGGATTCTGAGGATTGGTAGGTTTTGGGGGTGTTTTCGCGATCGTCCAAGGAGGGTACGCTCATCTTGTTGAGGACATCAACTGAATCGAACTCGAAATCGTCGTCGTCATCCTGAGAATGAATGAATGTAATTGATTTATTTATTATTTAGAAGAGGAGGGTATGAGTAAGACAGGCTTACGTCGACGATAGAGAAGGATTGCTCTTTGCGGTCCATTATTAATTGATATAATTGAATTATGGATTCACAACACTATGAAAATGATGGCAGAGGGTTTTTTTGTTGTGATTGAGGAGGGTTTTTGTTGTTTCTATGGAAACATGATGATTAACAGGGAAAATATAGTTTAAAACTATGTTTTTATATAGTAGATATGTTTACTAAAGCATTTTGTTGCTATTTTGGCTTCAAATTCTGTTTATTTATAAAAAAATTTATGAAATTAGCAAAAATTTGCTTCAAATTTGGGGAATACAAAATGGCAGCTATAATGACAGTAAGAATTGCATTGTATTGTGGCAAATATAATTGCGATTATAATATTAATTGCATTATTGTTTATCTTTTAAATTCTTTTTGCGTAGAGTGCGCCACTATCGACTATCAACTGAGTCCACTCTAGAATCACCGCTTGTGATAAGTTTGTCAATATATTGTCAATCAAAAGATATATGTTCACACGCAATACGTTGACTAACAATGCGAATTGGATATGGGCTCAACTTTAACTAAAATTACTTAATTATTTGAATTAAGAGTATTATACAATATCCTTTAGTCAATTTTAAAATTTAACAAGTTGGATAACCATAAATGCATACAATTTGACAGCTGACAGCTTTTCTTTCTTGAACTTCAACTTCCCAAGCAACTGCACGCAGATTTTGTCATTATTACCTTGTTTACTGCATTATTGATCCCTGCGCTAGCAACAATTGTTCAGTATCAACAACCATGGCTGTTCTGGCGGCTGCCGCACTCTTGGATGAGTTAATGGGCCGCAATCGGAATGTTGCGCCAAACGAAAAAGGCAAAGAACTCAACTGGGAAGATCCAGAGGTAATCACATCATAAAAAAACAAAACAAACAAAATAACATATTTATTTTATTATTTCCACAGTATTGTAAATATTTCCTGGTAAAGTTTTGCCCCCACGACCTATTTGTGAACACACGCGCCGATTTGGGTGCATGTTCCAAAGTCCATGACGAAGAAGTGAAGAAACTCTTTGACCAAGCAAAATCACACAAGAAAATCTTCTACCTTGAAGAATTCGTGCGGTTTTGCAGCTCGATGATCAACGAAGTCGATCGTAAAATCGTCAAAGGCAAGCAACGACTCGCCCTGAGTGGAAAAGGTGAAATTTCTTCATTAACTCCAGCACAAACACAGAAAAACTTAGATCAGATTAATTTACTAAACGAGCGCATTAACGGTTTGGTGGAGGAGGCTGAACAGGCGGGTAACCAAGGTAATGTTGAGCAGGCTCAAGGGTTGATGAAATTGTGTGATCAGTTGAAAGATGAGAGGGATAACTTGAAGAAGATGAATGATAACAGCCATTGGAGTGCTACAGCTGAGTTGGCAGCTGCGCAAGAGAAGCAGATGGAGGTTTGTCAGGTATGTGGCGCGTTTTTGATTGTGGGGGATGCACAACAACGAATTGATGATCACCTTATGGGGAAACAACATGTTGGGTAAATAATTCATCACTATTTTAATCAATAACCTAACTTTTATAAATTTTTGTTGGTTTATTAGTTATGCAAGGTTAAAGGCAGCCATTGATGAGATTCAAGAGTTGATTGATAACGAAAGACGGAGTAATACCGAGAGTGGAAGTTTAAATACTGTGCGAGATCGTCGAGGGATGCATCATCATCGAAATAAACGTGATAATAGGAATGAAAAGTAAGTTATAACTTAAATTTTTACATAAATAAACTAAAAAATTAATATTTTGATAGAATTTCAAGGGATTCTCGTGATAAACCCCGAAGGGATTCGAATACCAACGGACGCGATCGGCGATCACATCACTACGATGCTTGTATGTGAATTTAACCTTACATAACCTAACTTTTAAGTTTAAATTTTTGATTTTTTTGTTTATTAGACCGAGAAAGAGATCGTTCTGAGCGTGGCAGTGACCGTCAATCATCTCGCCACTCACATCGCCGTTAGTTTTTCGGTTGGTGGCATAACAATACACCAAACAATCGACAAATAATACCAGTAAGAGATGACCGCTCACAGGTAGGTGCCGCATTACCGGGCGGCAACCCACGTCACACCTGTTCAATCAAATTGATGATGAAAATCTGTGTCGCGTTGGTTGCTTCCATTTTCTTTTCAGTCGAAAATTTTTTTATCACACGAAAACCGCGCTGCAGGTTAGTGCTCATCAGCAAACTTCTCTTACACGATATATTACACTTGATAACAGCAAATCTCTTTCATTGTCAAGTATTGCTGAGTGTGGAATTTTATGTCAACGATACGAAAATAACAAATTGCTACAAGTTGTGTCGGTTGTATAGCCTCTGAATATGCAACCGGCGCAACTGTTTTGTTTAATTCTTTCTTTTGTTTTAATTGTTGCGCGGCTGCGCGAGATATAAATGTATTTCGGTGCAGAAAATGTCCCTTCGTATGACAAGAATGAAATGCCGTCTCACATAGCGCACGATGGAGGTATTTATGTATAATTCTTATGTTAATGTTGTTTTTTTTTTACTATATGATTATTATTATTACACCTACGACTTATATGCTTAGGAGAGACGTCGCCGATTGTTAATTATTTGATGCTGATGCAAAGATGGCGGCCGGGGTTAATGCGTTGTTTGGATTTTTCCAGTTTCGAAATGTGCATACACAGTAGGTCCATCAGCGAAGTACGGTCGAATGGTTATTGGAGGCATCCACGTCTAATTGATAACTCTGCAAAGCAATCTGCAGACCTAAAGGTGATTTTGTTTGATTCATTTACACGTAAAGATCAATGCAATACCGTAGTTTCAAGACCTAATATTAACTTTAATATTATCTTACTTGCATTGGAGTTATAAATCTTATAAATTATAGACATATACATATTTCTTAATAAATATATTCAGACATAACATTTAATGAAGTGATTTGTGTCTTATAATTGGCCAAATTATACAAATCAAGTCGAATTTTTGTTGTTTCGGTCGATATTTTCGTGATTTTGTGACTTGTAGTTATCATTTCAAACGCAGAATAGTTTAATTTGGTCCTAATCCAATTAAAATTGCTCTTGGAGTGCCAAATACTTTAAGAATCAACATATTTACGGCTTGGGATATTTTAATCCAAAAGTGCATCTTAGCGACATCTATAAATGGTCAGAATATCCTGCTAAACACAATAAAAGTGACAATTTGTTAGGCTGACTTCCCACGTGCGCTTTGTATGAGGCAGTGAAAATGTTTGACTGAGTCAGTGAGTTAAATAGCGAGATTCGTGTCCGTGTGAATACACAGTACTGTGTGAAATACCAGTAGATGCAACTCTTTATTTCAAATGTAGATGTCGCAAGCATGCACATATTTGCATTAAATCTTTGTTTATTTACTTCGAGCTCCAATGCTATTTTTTACCTGATTCACTATCGTATTATCAGATAAACAACTAGTTTTGTGTGCACAAAATCATGAAATAAGCACGTTAAACTGCATTGTACTATTCTACAATAAATTTATACAAATATTATTTGATTGATGAATATTTAAACATTATAAATGCACACATTCAATAAAATTATTCCAAATTAAATGTAAATGAACATAAATTACGTTTTTCTTTATTTTAAAATATTTATTTCTTGCTGTATGCATGTACAATTGTTCTATGAACACATTAATATATTTATTTTTATTTTATAGCACTCAATATTCTTCATTAATAATTATAATTCAACAAATAGCAACAAACGAATCCTATTTTTCAAATGACATAATTACAAGTATTTAGTGACATTTACTAACACAACTTTAACTTGTGAATATAACCCCAGTCAGCTGCAATATTTAATTTGTCAACAAAACGACACTCCAATCAGTTTTATCGCGATATCTCACGTGTAACGTTTGCAATTCTCTTCGATAACATTAAGTATGTCCGTGGACACCTCCAACGTAAGCATCCTGCACTGGGTTTCCAGTGACAAGCATAAATGCGGCTATTGTGGCGCAAAGAACTCCATCACCAATGGTATGATGCAATTACCTAAAACTAACTCGTTTACTAATGAATTTCAATGAAATCTTTCACAGGATTGTGGGCAGAATGTCTCACTGTCGAAGACTATCAGAATATGATAGACCGTGGCTGGCGCAGGTCCGGAAAATATTGCTACAAACCAATAATGCATGAAACTTGCTGCCCGCAGTATACTATTAGGTAGGTGCAAAGAGTCTAAGAATAGGTAATGAAAAGTATTAGATATTAATAGAAGTTATGTTAAAGATGTGCTGCTTTGAATTTTAAACCATCAAAGTCACAGAAAAAAGTACTTAAGAAGTTTAATAAGTATCTCAGGGAAGGAAATAGTCCTACAAGTGCTCCCGAAACAATAAATTCTGACACAATAGCTGATTGTGATGGAATGCAGGATTTTGTAATGCCTCAGTGTGTGAAAGAAATTGGCAATCAAATAAAACTAGGTATTTCATCAATTTTGACAAATTCTGCTGTAGAATCATCACTTTCTCAGTCTACGAGCCTTGTTAACAACTTAACCAAATCAAATTCAACTGCGTCACCAAAAAAAGAAGTCAAGAAAGGTGTAGGTGCTGATGTATCACTGCCAAAATGTCAGAAAGCAAAGTATCTGCGTCAAAAACGCCGAGAAGCCAAGTTATTACAAGCTGGCCAACCTCAACCAACACCTGTTCAACAAAACAAAGAGAAATCATTGACTGATTTGATTAACGAACAGTCAATGGATAATTTACACAATATTCAAGTGAAATTGATTCAGTTAGAGGGAGCTGAATGGAAACAATACAGAAAAATAGAGTTTGAGTTGTACAGAAAGTACCAAGTCTGTGTTCATAAAGATCCGCCCGAAAAGTGCACGCAGAAGTCATTTGAGAACTTTCTGGCGGATTCTCCTTTACAGGTTAGTAAATTTTCAAAAATTGTAATAGATTTGCATCGGCCGGGAATCGAACCCGGGCCGCCCGCGTGGCAGGCGAGCATTCTACCACTGAACCACCGATGCTTGTGCAATACTTCTTAATTTCTTGTTTAGAGTTCTAATAAAACATTTGGAAGTTTTCATCAACAATACTGGCTGGATGATAAACTAATCGCCGTTGGAGTGATTGATATCCTTCCGAGATGTGTCAGCTCGGTATACTTCTTCTACGACCCGGATTATAATCATTTAACACTAGGAACTTACAGCGCATTGAGGTGCCATTTTGTTTTTTCATAATTTGCACAAATTTATTGTTATTTTTATTTATTTCAGAGAAGTTGAGTTTACACAGCGTTTACACCTCAAACAACCATCGATTGAATACTATTACATGGGTTTCTACATTCATACATGCATCAAAATGCGTTACAAAGGTAAATTTTTCCCTTCGGACTTATTATGTCCGGAAACCTACGCTTGGACGCCCATCGATCAGTGCCTTCCACTGCTTGAGGTCAGTAAGTATTCGCGATTGCAGAAACCCGGCGTTCGAGATGATAACAACTGTTTACCTGGGCCACTATTGGACGAAATGAAGATTGTGATTGATTATACAGTGTATAAAGCACGACAGCTCAGGGATAAACGCGATTTGGGCGAGAGTATTAAACTACTCGGCGAGTTACTCGGCAAGAAACTCATCGCCAGTGTTTACATTGCGTTTTAATTCGGTTTCAGTCAAGATCGACGATAATGTGTGAATATATTGATTATCTGCTAACAGTTAAATAAAATACGCTTGATGAACATTTTAGGTGATTACTTCAACACAATGTTATCGCCACAATCAGTCTGCTTCTAATTATGACTAAAACATTGTATTTTCGTTGAATTTGTTTATTTCCTTCGAAATGTTCGCGTATAGCATCCGCCATTTTCTGAATCTTGCTTCTGTGTTTGGTAGCTTTCCGTTTTGTAATTATAAAAATGATAAATTCACTCGTAATAATATTTATCAGCTGGTTTTGATTGTTATAACATTAATTGTGTTTATTGCTTGTAATTTTAATAGTTATCGCAAACTAAACCGTGAAAGCGATAATATACAATGGGTTTACTTCGGTTTGCGTCTTATGAATCTATTCTCACAGCTACATTTTGCGTTGTCTTCGAATTATGTTAAACTACCGCAAACACAACGTTTGTTTGATTTATTCGATGAAATTGATAAACAACTTGTTTGTGAAGGTTATAAGAACAGCGTTGGAATCACTGGCGTACTGACAAAGTTCCTAATAACGAATTTATTCATGTGGATATTGTTTACGTATGATTTTGTTATGTTGGGAATTGTCATGGGGAAAATGCACCTGTTACCATTATACATCAGCGAATGGATTAATTATTACGCTTTACATATTATAGAAGCCATAAAATTAATCGTTTTGTATTCTGTTAGAAAACGTTATGTTGCTATAAATACACATCTGATGAGTGTGGAATTCAATATGGCGGTGGATAGGGGTGATGTTGATAGAATTGATGGTGTGATACATTTACACGAAATGGTGGCGGAGTTAATACAATTAACTAATCAAATATTCGGATGGAACTTTTTATTTTCCAGCGTACAAATGATTTTATATTTTCTGTGTTTTACTAAGTTACAATTGGAATCAGGGGTTTTTGAATGGCAAAGGAGTGCGTTCATGATAGTGTGGACAGCGTACAATATGGTGTGTATAACATAACCTATATTTTCATCTAATAACTTTGTTATGTTTTATTTTTATAGATTCAAACTGTGGCGGTTGCTGCAATGTGCGAAAAAGTCAACGATGAAGGAACCAAGACCATAACCATCGCATACAAAACTCTCGCACGCTATATAAACATCGCATACATCCGTGAAAGATTGTTTATCTTCGCACAACAATCCACAGCGTTGTATCCACAGTTTTCAGCTGTGGGGTTTTTCAATGTCGACTTTGCAATGCTTTTCACTTTTATCAATCTTATAACTACTTATGTCATAGTTGTTATACAATTCTCCAACAATGTCCACTAAGCTATAATAAAATGGCTGACTATTCATGTGAGCAATGTGCACATATAAACCTGAGTATATAACCTAACTCTTTAACTATTATCAGTTGTATTTTCAAAAGTCATTTGTTCATAGAAACGTGAATTAGTCGTCCCTGAAAACTGTATGACAACAATCGTGTAAGTTGTTATTAAATTAAACAAAGTAAACAACATGTTTAAATCAATATTGAAGAAGTCACCAGCAGTGAATACAGGAGATCTTGCGCCGATTTGTTTCGCTAGGCGTGATAATGGTTTGCGTACCATGGGTATATTGTTGTAATAATTCATAGCTTTGTAGGTTTTTGCCAAAATTGCTTTACTAGCATCAATAACTCTTTGAGAATTAAGAACAACCATAAACGCTTGAACCTACAATACATAAATAAGTAAAATTATATTTTTAAAAGGTAATATTCATACAAATCCATAAAGTGTCCATAAAACAAGCATCAGTAACATTGTTTTATCCTTATCGTCTTTCGGACCTTCCAAGAACAAACTAACCAATCGTAAAGCGTATAAAACAAGATGTAAAACACTAATCGCCAAGTTTATTCCGTATAAATCATTGCATAAATCAATGGCATCCGTGCATCTTGTATGAATATTTATTAATACTTCCATTGATGATAGTTTCTGAGCGTCATTTCTTTCTAAAACATCACCAATGCCTTTCAATCTGGATCTAATAGCGCTGTACATATGTGAGATGATGAATTTGGATGTATGCAACCCAAATTTCACAAAAATCTCATTTAGAAAGAAAACACCAGCGTGAAATGTTTGTTGTGTCCAAAAATAAAACGCGTGTAACAATATGTAAGTAATATTTGTGATGAATAACTTTGCAGTGATGTATTTTATTTCCTCAGGTGTGAATTTAAAATATGTCCGGAAATCAATATCGATGCGTTGTAGATTCTCCCAGAGAAGTTGTAACTTGTCGAATTTAAATCGATGATGCGCCAAGAAGAATTCCATGTATATTATGTTAATGATTACATGTTGAACCATACGTGTTGAGGCGTTAAAAGTAATCACAGCTGGAAGATGCGAGACCAATGGCCAGAGTGTGTACAGAAATGTGGTTAAGACAAAAATGACATAAAACAATGGTACGTATGTGCATTTTTCAAATTTATTATTATTTCGGTTGAATTTTGGTAACAGGCCGATTGCGTATGATTGATACAGGAGGTATTTGAATTGATCAGGTAAAGCAGACATGTTTCCCACAACTGATGGAATTATACTAATGCTGTGGTGAATTATGATCGCTTCCGCAGCTAATATTTGATTGGTGTTAATTAATTGAATGGGTTTTTATTGTTTTTGTTTCTAAATTGCCCTGCATTATTCAGTTAAGGTCAGATGATTGTTGATAATAGAGTATTTATGGATTAACAGAGTATGTTGTCGAGTAGAGCTGAGCCCAAGACATTACTCAACCAATTTTCGATGCTGTTGATTATTTCTGCGGGTAATCCCAAGTTGGATAAATCGATTAAGCACGTGGGTGGAAATAGGGCAGTGGGTAGTTCTACTGGAGATGCTAATACCTATAAAGTTAATTTATTAAGTATTTTTTTTATAGTTGTTAATGTTTAAAATAAACTTACTGTTGTCATGAGGCAAATAGTGCTGGTAATGACGTACTTCATTATCATATTGGCGGCCATTTTGTTTTATTTATTTTTTAACTGTGTAATGGTACTTAACTTAAAATTTGGTTGAGTAGTGTTGGAAGACTGTAGATACTGATTGAAACTCGGAAGTATTTAAATGAAAAATTTGAGTTGTGAAATAATTTTATTCTGTGATAAATATTTCTTAATTTTTGATGAAATTTAAGGAAGTTTTTTATGGGTTATGAAAGATATTGCAATATATATTTGCAATACATGTATATTTGTATATAAGTAGCAAAAATCTTCCTTTATATCTTCTTTTTGAATATCCGCTGTGCGTGACATGAGTAGAGAGAGTAGGGAAGAGAGTGGAACCTAGGTTAGGCTGGACTGCTTGACCATTCAGGTAGCACTGAGCCCTATGGTCACTGCGAGCTGTCCTTTTATAGCTATGGTCGACCCGCAAAAAGTGGTGGGGGTAAGTCTACACTCGCGGGTGCAAACTACGAGCACTGGAGGCAACTATACGGAAATAAGGGAGGGGGAAGTTGGGGACCTCTTGGCAGCCGCGTTTGATTAGAAGTTTCAAGGGGTCCGTAGTGAACAGTAAATTAATTCATCATTAAACAATATATAACGTAATAAAATTCAGTAAATTTAACAATTCAACACCTGTTTTCAGAGTTGTCATCTAGATCAGGTATGGTTTTAGTTTCTATTAGTTTTCTATAGTATACAGCTGAATCTTTTTCGTATCGAGGTCTTGCAGAACTATTAAAATCAACCGAATATAAACCAAATTTACTCCTAGAAAATATAAAAATTAAGTTAAGTTGTCATAAGTGTTACAACTTACAAATATCCATTGGTCCATTCGAAATTATCCATAAAACTCCACGCAGTATAACCAATAATCTTTACATTATCTTCATTCATACTCAAAACCATTTGTTTCAAATGATCCTAAAATTTTCCCTTCATTAATATTAATTCTTAAATATTTACCTATAAAAATAAAATACATTGAAGTAATTAATTCTATCCCGATCGTCGAATTCTCCTTTATCCCCATAACCATTTTCTGTAACCATTATAGTTGGATTCCTATATTCATCTCTAATAAACCTCAAAGATTTTCGTATAGCTTCAGGTACAACCTACAAAATACTAAAATAGAGGTTATGTTATAATTATTTCCTCTTAAATAAATCACATAAATCAGTGGTTGAGTTGGTGATTGCTTCCATTTTGGGTCCACTGTAACAAAAACCTGTGCATCACTCTGTAAACTATCTTCATTCAAAGTATCATTGAAAAATACAAGTCTACTGGTGTAATAATTCATTGCGTAGTAATCATTGGTCCCTCTGATCAAATTAACCTCTTTCTCGGTGAACACTGGTAACTTAGAAGTGGTTAACCCTTGGGCACGACTTGCATTAGCCACATATTCCTTCATAACACTGGGGAAGTCTCCAATATAAATAGGATGTCCCCATTTTCCTATCTGTAAAAGTTTTGAGGTTAAAAATAAATTTTTAAGGTTATTATAGGGTTTATTAGAATATTTTAAGTTATTTTAGGTTATTTTTAGGTTATATTACTTTATATTATTTAAAATTAGATTATTTTAGGTTATATTTGGTTATTTTAGTTTATTTTAGAATATTTTTAGTTAATTTAGGATAAACTCACCATAAACTGTCTATATCTCTCCGCTGCTTTCAAATCATCATCACAATCACTCCCAGCTTGAAAATAATTACTATCAATAACCAACGCTACATTCCCATAATACTTCCACTTGTATTTCTTCTGATATAACCTATAAACACTCGCGTGTGCAAGCAATAAATTCCTCGTACACATATAAATCAATCCATGATTCCCAACATACTCCGTTTGCAATACACTCGCCATCAAAACATCAATTTCACAACAAGAATTCGGCTCATTAATAGTAAACCAATGTTTCACTTTATGTCCATAGAGTTTAAACACAACATCCGCATAATTTTCAAAATCCCTCACAATTCTCTCATTCTGAAATCCGCCATACTGAGCCATTGGAAGAGGCATATCAAAATGATACAGTGTCACCATAGGAATTATATTATTCGCTATCAATTCATCAATTAATTGCTTATAATACTCAACAGCATAAGGATTAGCTGACCAAATTCCATTCGGGGCTGTACCATTGGGTAATAATCGGGACCATGAAATAGAAAACCTGTAAAATTTCACTCCAAGCGATTTAAGAAGAAAAACATCTTCTTTGAATTTGTGATATGAATCACACGCGATATCGCCTGTACTATTGTCCATAATGAGGTTAGTTTTGTGGGTTATGTAGTCCCAGATGTTTTCACCTTTACCATCTTCATTCCAACCTCCTTCGACTTGATACGCAGAAGTGGCAACACCAAATAAAAAGTTTTCATCAAAATCAGCACATTTTACTTGATTAAATGAAGAAAAACTAAAAAAATTTAAAAATTTTGAGGTTATTTTAAGAATTTTGAGTTTTTTCGATGATTCTAACCTGAATACATAAAAGTATCCAACAATAACCAGTTGTATGAAGGTTTTCATTGTCACTGATACCAGAAACAGCAAAAATCACGCCTGAACTGCATTAAAAACGAATTATCTTTGTTGTTCAATTGATAATGGTGTTTAAGAGAAGTTATAAATACAAATTAAACAAATTATCATCCATGTCAATATACCCAACGTTGATTATATCATTATTTATTGGTGTGCGCAGGCGTGACTTATATAAATAACATGATATTAATAATGGAATTGTGACAAAGATACGAGTATCACTGAATAAATGTTTATTTAATTTCAGCATTTTTTCACCTTTTTTTCTTCTTTATTGCTTAATTAAAATAATTAATTATAATAATTATGTTTTTCAAAGAAACAATAACATTATCCTGCACTTAATTATACTTAATCGACGCCATTAATATGTTGTTTGTGGCTTGTATTCGTCTATTTTACACAAAATAATGAGTTCAACGACAAGTACGACATGTTTGAAGAAATGGCTGAGTTTTATGTTGATTTATCCATGGTACAATTCAAAAAAACGAAATTTTGAAACAAATTCTGTTAAATTTGTGTTTTTGGTTGTGTTTATTTTAATATTGGCTATCCAGAGGCAGATATCTAAGGTTATGTATGAAGAATCAACAACTGCGTTTCTTTTATTTGAAGAATTCGTTGTTATTTTCATATTAACAGATCAAATAATGATGAATAGTGCTAAAAACACCAAGAATATAAATAAATTCTTTTATTTCGTTGATAAATTAGATGAAAGTGAAAAAGAAACAAAAGAAAAATTCAATTATGTGAAATATTTTTGTATTTTTTGGAATGTTGGATTCCTAGGAGGAGCATTCTTCATGTGCAGCATGTTGATAATTGAACTACGGATATCTTTCGCCTTACAGAAGTTATTTGAAATGTTTTCTTTTTATTATATGCAAGCTGGTATCGTTTGGAAGACGATTCTTTGTTATAGAATGAAAACGAAACTTGAGAATGTTAACAAAATGTTGGAGAATGTAGATGTGACACGTGGGCATTCTCATGATGTACATAACCTCCTAGATGAATTAATAATACAACATAATATGATTGTCAACTGGGTGGATGTTTTCAATGAGTTGTTCGGTAGACAAATTCTGTTGGTTAAGATAAATGAATCGTTTCAAGTTTTGGTTGCTTTGGATATGTATTTTAGTGATTTCTTTAAGAGAACTATGCAGTCAAATTCAGGCGGGTTTTTCTTGGTTTCTATGACGGTTTATACACAGGTATTGATTTTATACTAGGTTATGTATGTGTGGTTATGTTTTATGTTTTGGTTTTTTTTTTGTTGCAGGCGCAAAGTTTTATAGCTGCAAGTGTTTGTGAGTGTTTTAATGTGGTTGGGAATGAAACAAAGAGCATTGTGAGTAATTTAATGTTGATATGTGATGAGAGGGATTTTGGATTGATGGGTAAATTGAAGTTATTGTCGAAACAAGCGAGGGATAGATGTCCGCAGTTTTCAGCGATGGGTTTCTTCGTGGTTAATCACGCGTTTATTTATACGCTGATTAATATGATTGTGTCGTATGTTATTGTTATTATACAAATGCACCAATAATTAGTGTTAATTAAATTGGTTAAAAGAATCCCTTCTAATATTATAAATGCGAAAGTCCTGATGTTTGTTACACTTTCACGCAAAAACTACTTAACCGATCATCATGAAAATTTGTACACATATTCTTAGTGGTCCCCGAATGGTTATAGGCTACTTTTTATTTAATAAAAAATATTATTTTTGAAATAAAATAACGAAATTGTTTAGCCAATAATACCTCTGCATCTGGCTATTTGACTAATTTAACGCCATCTAGCATTCCAGCAATGAAGCTCAAACCTAAGTACTATAGTACCATCACACTGTATTATCACACTGTATTACCGACAGCTACGTCAACATCAAATCCAATTGACTACACTATGGAGACTGTACACTATACTTCCATAGACTATACTTTCAGCCATTTTAAACTTCCCGCCATTCTACTTCATTGTTACTTCTTCTGTGACTACAGACGCGTACGGAAGCAACTTCATTATTTTAGATATTCGCGAGCGAAGCCGCGGGTTAAAGCTAGTGTGAAATAAAATACAAATAAATGTTTTTTTTATAAAATATATTTATTAAAATAATTTGTGATTTTTCTTGGATTTTACAATTTTGTTTGAGAGTTTTACATGTTTCGCCCTGTGGGCATCATCAGTTTCTGATTTTACTACCATGGATTACGTATTCAACTTAGAAAATAATAAAAATAAATGTTTGTATGTTTTATTCTTTATGATACATTTATTGATATTGCCGGTGAGGTGAGGTGAATGGTGATAAAAACTAAAAACAAACATCTACATGAGCTCACACGCTGTGTAAACGCAACATAAATAAAGATAACTCATTAACGTGACTACAGAGGGCGCTAGCATGTCTACATTGGCATTAAATGCTTAGCCACGTTCTTGTCGCAGTAGATTGTGTCGTAGAGCGAGTTGTTTGTTAGTAGTAGTGAGTGTGCATCGAGTTAAATAGAGATAATCGTGTTGTGCGGCGACCTCAAGCTGTTTTTAATGTTTGTAAACACACGTGTGTTCAAATTAAATGTATTGCATTTTAAACTATTGTCTATTTTCAAAATCATCAAAAAATTATCGATCAAAGTGAATTTTCTTCAACATTACTTTGTTTTGATACATTTTTAAATTCAGTAATAACTAAAGTATAAAATTAATTATTATAAAAGTCTTTATAAACTAATGTTCATGTACTGGAAACAACTTTAGGGTTGAATGATACAATATACTTTACTCATGCTAATTACTTTCATAAAGTTTATTGAACGAACTCTCTTTTATTGATCAGTTTTACATTGCTGATTGCTTTGGTCAGTTTTCAAAGCTATAAACATTTAAAATATGAGTTTAACAAAAAACATAACTTATCTCAAGAAATGGTTAACATACATGTTAATTTTTCCATGTTACAATGAAAAAATAAAAATATTTGTATCAAACCCAGTCAAATTCACTATTTTACTTATATTAGTATTATCTTTAGGCGTCTTCAGACAACTTGGAAAGTTTATTTTTATTGAACAAACAGGCCCCTTTCAAATATTTGGAGAACTAATCATAGTACTCATAACGATGGATCTTGTATTATTAAACTCATACAAAAACACAAGAAAAATTAATAAATTGTTTAGTTACATGGATAAATTAGCCACAATTGAAGCAAAAGAAGTCAAAGAAATGTATATATTAACTAAAATAAAAACAAGTAATATTAAAGACACAACATATGATAATGTAAAATTAACGTGTATTATCTGGAATTTATGCTTAATTGGCGGAGTAATAACAATGTGCACATTAATGGCTATACATTTACCATTTGGAATGGCTTTCTTAAGAATTTACGAAATGGTTTGTTTATATTACATGGAAAGTGCAATATTTTGGCGAAATTTACTCTGTAACATAATGAAAACTCAATTGGAAGACATAAATATAAAACTACAACATCTAGATGTAAAACAAATTAATTCTCATGAAGTACACACAGCCCTAGATCAATTAATTATACGTCATAACTTAATTGTCAACTGGGTGGATGGTTTCAATGACTTATTAGGTCGACAAACTTTATTAATAAAGATTTATGAATCTTTTCATGTTCTAGTTGCATTAGACATGTATCTGACTGATTTTTTCACGGATTGTCAAGTGTTTAGCACTGGTGGAATTATGCTACTTGTGATTACATTTTTAGTAGTGGTATGTATACGTAACCTCAAAATAGGTTAAAATAGGTTTTATAGGTTTTTTTTAAAGTTATGATTTGTTTTATTGCAGTTACAAAGTTTTTCAACGTCAAATATATGTGAAGAGTTCAGTCGTGTGGGTAAACAAACCAAGGTAGAGGTTAATAATTTAGTTTTAATATGTACTGACAAAGATTATGAACTGAAGGATAAATTGAGGTTATTGTCGAAACAAGCGAGGGATAGATGTCCACAATTTTCAGCGATGGGGTTTTTTATTGTGAATCACGCATTGATTTTTACTCTTATCAATATGACTGTGTCGTATGTTATTGTTATTATACAAATGCACCAGAAAACTTAAATAGCATATTAAGTTTTTGTGTTTGACAATGTTTAGCTACGGCAGCTCCACCCCGTGACTAAAACCCGTGACTAAAGTATATACTTGGTCATACAAGTTAAGCGTACAACTTTTTTCTGTCTAAACAACTTGCACTTCAAAAATAGAAGTAGAAAAAGATAATTTTCAATTGTTTGCTTTGAAATTGTAGAGTCAATTATAGAGTCAATTAAACTAATTTGTTTGCTTTTACAACATCAACATCTCGACGATTAATTTCACTCAATTAAAACATTTGTTACCTATGTGTCCGATGTGTACGACAAAAGATGAGTTTCTCATCGAATGTGAATTGTTTAAAAAAATGGTTGGCTTTTTTGTTAATATATCCATCTTATAACAACAAAACACGCACGTTCAAAGCAAACAAATTTAAATTTATCGCATTATTAATATTATATATACTAGGAATTGTAATAAGACAAGTTACAAGAATATTATTTAACGAACCAACGAGTTCTTTTTTGATATGTGGCGAAATATTGCTTATGTCAAGTTCGATTGATCATTTATTGTTAAACAGTTGTGAAAACACTCAAAAAATCAACGAATTTTTCACTTACATCGATAAATTAAGTGAAAATGAACTAGTTATAAATAAAAATATAAAACATAATTTTAATATTGTTAAATACGTGTGTATAATATGGAATATTTTAGTTTTTCTTGGTTTATTGAGAGCTGGAAGTTATACAATCAGTCAAGTGGGATATTTTTATGTATTTACGATGGTTTTTAAGTTCCTGACGTTTTATTACATGCAAGCTGGTATTATCTGGCGAAATTTGATGTGTTATATGATGAAGATTAAACTTTCGGATGTTAATCAAACATTAGAAGGTTTAAATGTATCTTGTGGACATTCTAAAGATGTTCATAGAATA